GACAGCATATTCTGGTGTCCCCAACTGTGATATTGCTGGAATATTGCTAAAAGTGGTGTAAAACTTAACTCACACGCTCATCCTTCCTGGTACCCATTCAGTAATGGATCAATTTGGGCATGTTTATATGAAGTCAGCATATGTATGTACATGTATTATCTGTATCAAGTTGTCACAAGCAATAATGATGATAATAGTGAGTATGGTTTTACGCCACTTTTCACAATATTCCAGCCATATCATGACAAGACACCAGAAATGGCCTTCACATGTTCTACCCATGTGGGGAATCGAAACCAGATCTTTGGTGTGATGAGCAAACACTTGAATCACAAGGCTACCCCACTGCCCAATAATAATAGCAATAAAAAATAATGTAAATAATATTAATGAATAAAAGTGAGAAAACCTTTTATCCATATTCATTAGAAAAAATTCTGCTAAAGGTTACCTTAAGTGCAGTGCCATTTTTTATATTTGTCAACCCCATACATCGATTGTGGTCTTGTTTTTCCTTGTAGAAAGGCTTGTGTTGACAGTGCCATGCACAATCATACAGATACAATCTTCACCTGCCATTATCAATTTCCGATCTTGACCAGGTAACATCGTTGACAGGAAGTGAACATAAGAATCTCGGCACTCCCTGTGTAGTATGTAACGGAACTGTGTCAACACCACATTGTCTGAACAAACAAAGAATAATTGTCTGTAAACACCAAGCAGGATAAGCTTTGATTTGATTTTTTGTCATATTGTTTCCTTTCACTGAATTTGCTAGTATTTTCAGTTTTTGTATGTAACAATTGTTTCATATCTGTGAGATGCTACAGAGCCTAAAGTTGTTTTGTCAGGAATGATTTGATCACTGTCATCATTTCCATGCATGTAATGTAAGGTTATTAGGAATGCTATTTCATCAAAGAATGACATATATCCATTAGTTATGGCGTGTTTCCAGTTGTTTGACAGGCAGGTAGGTCGCCGTGACCTTCATCAAACAAGATCTGGTTTGTAGCGGGATTGATATCTGCACAAATGTCAACCTGTCCAACGCCAGAGAAGCGATTCTGAAAATACTGCCATAAATCAGTTTAAGATTGGAAGGTGGATTTTCCAAATTCTTTACAAAGACATAAAATATGTGCTTCTAAATTCTGATGAATCTATATTTAGCCAATACCCCAGCTAGGATAGCCTATAAAACCTGGTTTATTGATATCCTATATCTTTGCACAGAGCTGGGTAATACCCACATCAAACAAAAGTTGAGATAGTTATTGTAAAACACTGATGGTATGTTCTTGCTTGTTTCTTTGAAACAAATAGTTCAAGGCTTGTGTGTTGATGGATGTCATTGTTACCAGCATCATTTTATTTAGACTGTGTATGTATTTATTTCGTCCTGTAAAGGAAGTTGAGAACACTGGTATCGGTATTATACAACTGAAGAGACTTGAGAATCATGAAGCAAAAATTGATATACTACATTTATCATGGTCTTATTGTTGAGTAAATTTATGGTGCACTACATTTCACTCACTGCCATCCTCAAAGTGCCACACAATTATTACCCAGCGTGGTCTTGAATGTCATTCTCAGCTTCCTGGGAGGTATACTACCCAAGCTGCCTGATGTGCTACATGGTTAAGCATTACCATCTCATCCTACCGGGATACCTGTGAAGATCGGGTTAGAATTGATCTTCAGCAACCCATGCTTGTCGTAAGAGGCGACTGACGGGATCAGGTGGTCAGGCTCGCTGACTTGGTTGACACATGTCTTCGTATCCCAATTGTGTAAATCGATGCTCATGCTGTTTATCACTGGATTATTTGGTCCAGACTCAATTATTTACAGACTGCCGCCATATAGCTAGAATATTGCCAGGTGAACAAGCATGTTTTGAATAAAATCATGTACCAACGAAGATACTTGTGGCTATGTATTGAGGAAATATGTACAAGTAGCTTTGAGCTAAGTTATCACAGCAGACATCGAACAAAATCGGTACAAAATCTGATGGTGTAGAAAATATAGGCTCCTTTTAGCGTACAATAATTGGCAACATTTTTGGTTCTTGTATGTAAATACATTGAACATTTTCAAATCGTGTGTTACTTGATTGTAAAACAACCAGATTAAATGCAGCATCCACTCTCTCCACATCCTCCCTGCGACCACCTCGTACATAATGTATCCCGGCAAGCACGTTGTTTGTATGATTATATACGCTGACTGCTCTATTGCTCCAGTCTCGCCGTGACTGTGAGTTTGGCACTATGTTCCTCATTGTTTAATCATCAATAATGTACAGTCCGCCAGTGTATTGCGTGCTGCTCGCACTAGCTACAAGTTGATGTGTTAAGGGTTCCGGACCTTTACTACACAGCTCTACAATGTGTGTCGGGAGGTTCCGGACTGATGTGTTAACCAGCCACTGTGACCAGTATTAACAGATTAGTTGGTCGTGTTGCCAGACTGCTAGCCAGCCTGCGGTAACGATATATTACCGTCTTGAAACCTGACTAAAATAAATAGTGGCTTATGTGCTGGTACTGTGCGGAACGGACTTTCTGATTGTCATAGTCGTGGGTTGAAAACCATCTGTACCAATCAATACTGACATAGAGCAAGTGTGGTCTCTCCAGGCTTTCGGGGAGAATATGGAAGTAGTCAGTGGAACCCATTTATAGTCACTGGTTACTGAAATCAGAATTTAGTGGTCAAAATGGTTGCTGATAATGGATAAGCCTTGGTTGTCTTGGAAGACTGCCTGTATGAGGATGTGGATCTAAGCTTACTCGGAATAGATTGGTGTATTGACTTTGTTGGGCATTCTACCACTCACCAACCCATTCTACTCACTCAACTCACTCACACACTCAAATACTCTTTCACCTCATTTCAGTTGCAACCTCACTGATTACTTCATTCACTCACTCAGCCAAATAACTCACCACCTTATTCCATCACTACCTCACCTACTAGTACCTCACTGATTACTTCATTCACTCACTCATCCAAATAACTCACCACCTTATTCCATCACTACCTCACCTACTCGTACCTCACTGATTACTTCATTCACTAATTCCCCCAACGGAATAACTCACCACCTTATTCACCCTGTCTCACCTACTGATATCTCAATCACCTCACTCACTCATCTTCAGCAACCCATGCTTGTCATAAGAGGTGACTAACAGGTTCGGGTGGTCAGGCTTGCTGACTTGGTTGATTCATGTCATTGTATCCCAATAGCACAGATCAGTGTTCATGATGTCAATCACTGGATTGTCTGGTCCAGACTTGATTATTTAGAGACCACAATCGTATAGCTGGAATATTGCTGAGTGTGGTGTTAAACAAACACAAAACTAAGTATTCACTCACTACCTCAATCTCCCATCTCACTCCCACTGAGGCATCACCCTCATAGATGGAGCTGTTTGAAACATTTAAGAAATGGTCTGTCCTGACATTACTGGGTTGATCAGTATAACAATTTTGTCATCACATATTGTCTCTAATCAATGCATTCAACAGAATGTAGATCATACTTTTAACTCAACCATCAAAGTCATAGTGGTGTATTCCTATTACTTATATCATTGGTGGATCCAGAGGGGGGTTCAGGGGGTGATAAAATTATCATTGAATTTCTTTTCATATCTTTACCCTGCTATAAGCTAACATTTTAATTCATTTGATTTATACTATTCTAAATATTGTTTTAAAAGAAAATCAAGTGAGTTTCAGCCCCACGTCTCTGTGTTTCGTACTTAACTCATTTGCAGTGTTTCATGCTTGGTTTTATTGATCAGCTCTCGGTGACATTGACTTCAATAATGAGACAACTTTCAACTTTCTCCACGTAAAAAGACAATGTGCTGTTTTTTGTTTCCCTAATCCTATCGCACCTCCATCACATAACATTGTTACATTTACCAGGATTGATAGCGCCAGAAAATGGAACGGTACTGATGAGTCACCAGAGTTAAATCAAATAAGCTTAGTTGTAGATAAAAGAAGACTTTCTCGAGTTACGTTCTGTAAGTGATTGTGTCGGTATATCACAATAATTCTGACCTATCCGTGGCAAGATTGGTCCTTTTTACTTGGACGTAGACAGATATCGTCTAAGTGTGCACTGGGCACCAATTGTGGATGTGTCAGGATTTCAGATGGACTTGTCTACAGTGATCGGACTGGAGGTGATAATTAGGGTTTGGGTGACTGTACATTCTGTCTGTGTCAGCCATTACCTATTGTCACCGTCCAGGGCTGAAAGTGATAGCGGTGTTTACACTGTACAATGTGTTCTTGTTTGTAAACGTCTGTGTCACTTTCTGCTTAATAGGTTGATTCTTGTGGGGGGTTTAGGTACAAACCAGGAAAACAGCTTATCCGAAAGAAGCAATTCTTTCATCAATATAACAAAGTTAATTTCTAATAATTTCTTAATATGTGGAATTAAGTAAATTAGCATAAATGTTATTTAATAACAATAATTGTCAAGAATTGAATTATTTCATGTTAAGTGATTAATGCTGATGGTACATGCTGTTACTTAGCTGTTTCTTTAGGAACCTGAACAGCATCGTTTGAACAACAATAATTGGTATCCATTGTTGTGCTGTGCTTTGTTGGTGAAACTTGTCTCACTTCAGCACAAAATGTGTGACTTCAGCAAGAGTGTTGTTACTTATTTAAGCTACCGGTGAAGATCCGGGTTAGAATTGATCTTCAGTAACCCATTTTTGTCATAAGGGGCGACTAACGGGATCGGGTGGTTAGGTTCGCTGACTTGGTTGACATGTCATCTGATCTTAATTGTGTAGATTGATGCTCATGCTGTTGACCACTAGAGTGGCTGGTCCAGACTCGATTATTTACAGACCACCACCATATAGCTGGAATATTGCTGTGTGAGGCATAAAACTTAACTCATTCACTCACTCACTACTTATTTAAATGGTGTTATTTGTTTTTGGCAGGTGTCGATGCCGGCAGCAGCCCACACTATCCGCTGTGGGGTGGATCACACCGTGGTACTCTGCAGGTCTTTCTGTTGACTGGAACAACCTGGAGGTCATGATAGAACTTTGTACTGTGTAGGACATCATCGGGACAACATCTTACATGATGGCCTTCATATGGATATGATTGATTTCACAACACTGTGATAGCCTTGCTTGGGACAACATTGTGACAGCCTTCATGGGACCATCATGACAGGCTTGATTGGGACATCGTTAGAGCCTTGAAGGGGACATTGTGAAGATCTTTATGGGACATCGTGACCATCTTCATGGAAACATCATGACTATCTTCATTGGGACATGGTCTGTCTTCATGGGACATGGTGGCTATCTTCATGGGGACACAGTGACTATCTTCATAAGGACATTGTGACTATCCTCATGTGGATATTGGGACCATCTTCCTTGGAACATCATGATAACCTTGAGTGGGATATTGTGACAGCCTCCATGGGGACATCATGACTATCTTCATTGGGACATAATGAATGACAGCCTACTTGGAGACATAATGACAGTCTTCAAGAGGGCTATGGTTTAGTCACCTCAAGGGGAACAGCTATGACATGGGGTATTCAAGTGCAAGAGACAAGCCTCTCGCTGCTGCATGCTTGACATTCTGCCTTGTGTTTTCTGCAACTAACCCAAATAATGATAACAAGGCTGGACAAAAACTGAGGAGTTTCTTCTCGCCTGATGGATACCAGACATAACATGGGGCAGACTTCTTCAGTGCCTGAGAGATGCAGTTGACATTTAGATATTGCATCTGTTAAGGAATAAAATAAGTTGATGATGTCTATATTTAGAATATTTCATTTTTATTAGATCAGTATTATATACTGGACAAAATAAGTTAGGGATGTTGGTATTCATATTATAATCTGGAGGTCTTATTCTAACTTTCCCATTAAAAAAATTAGGTGTAACATGTGCGGGTTTTTTTAAGCTAGGCACAGTTATCAACAGGCATGCTACACCCATTCTTCACTACAGAGGCCTACATTAACATATTTCCCCCAATTTCTAACATGTAACAATGTTCTAATGAGGAAATCACATGTGACTTGTATGAACACTGCAGTACTCTTGAAGAAATGCTTCATTGGCTTTAAGACGAGAATAAATTCAGAATTTGTTTCATACAACACCATATTTGTGACAACATGTGTTGTAGTCTGTGGTTCCCATCTGCATAGCTTTATTTTACCACTATATAAACTGAACATTCAGACCAGCTGACATCTCCAACAGTTAGTGCTCAAGTATTTATGTGACAAAACTGTAAAAGGTAAATGGTCTCGAAATAGTATTCTGTATGTATTTGTCTAAAATCTCTTTATTGGTTTGGTCAAGCGTAGATACATTTCTTTATTGTTTACCATTCATTACATTATTGTTCCACAGTTGTCTTCCAACTATGCAGTGGCCAGTAGCATGTACCGGTAATAGGGCTGCAACGATTCACCCAGACCTCGATTTGATTCGATGTTCAATATTGGACCCTCGATTCGATCATTTTCGATTCGATTTTTCATACAACTCTCAGAGTTGGCTTTTATAGCGTGAAATCCATCGTCAACTTGGCAATGTTAACTAACAACAATTCTCATTGGATAATTAGCCTGGCGTCAACCAATCACGTTTCGCCATATTTCAGCGATCGAAACTGCTATCGAGTTGGAGTCAAAATTTATGTTCTGGCTGTGTGGAAATAATTTAAATAGGTATTCAAATATCAAATCGAAATAGTGATAATGTTATCGAAAATCTAAACTAAGGTGTCAGATTCGATTTTCGATGAATCGAACCGAATCGTTGCAGCCCTAATCGGTAACTAAATCTAAACCTGATAAACTAGTGGTTGAGCCTTGTGGTTTAGCCACAGTGACCTACAACCAATTCACTGAACCTGAACTACTTGATCCATTGAGTCAGCTTGTAAGGCAAGTGCATGTTGGTGGGTGAGATGGAGTTCAGTTTTACACTCTGTTGCACTGATATAGCAATGCTTGTACTGGTCCTGCCTAATTCTGGTTTCATAGTGCCATCAGTGAGATGACATGCCAGTTTAAAATCGATTCTCCATTGAGGCACAGGTACCATATTTAGGGCTCCTTGCCTCTAGGCAGGAGACCTATTGTAATCGTTCGGATTATTATTATTATTATTTATTCTGCCGATTTTTGTACCAAACATACCTCCTAAACCAATGCTCCGAATCACTTACAAAAAATCACACAGATGCCCACCGAGGTGAAGATATTCCCCTTAAAAATCTCTAGGCTCTAGGCCCAATAGCAAAGGGGAGATAATTCAAAATTAATTCCAAATTTCAAAGTTTGACAGCAAATATCTCAAGAACTAATTGTTCCAACACTTCCAAATCTCTTGTACAGATGCACAATCGCATTCCCAACAATTTTGCCTGACAGGTCAGTCGCTAAAATGTACCTTTTGGCAGTTATTTTTGTTTTCAGTTTTTGGCAATGTTTTTCAGCAGTTTTCTGAGTAGTTTGCTCCCAAAATGTGCTGAGCTCGAACCATCAGCTCTAGACATTCCAAACTTTCCATAACTGATGTCCAGTAACCATTTGTGCAAATTGTGCCAGTATGCTAGATGAAGTCTTGGTGATTCCAGAACACTAGTTGTTTTGACCGTAGACCCAAGAACAACTGAGATACAGCCTTTTAAAGAGGGAACTATTTCTTCTCCAGAACTTCTTAAAAGGTACATGACCCCGGCTGTATTTGGAAGATCCGCTCACCTGTCAAAAACGTGTTCTGGCTCCGTTTTGAACAATGATTTCTTGCCCTCAAATACAATAGATAGAACTAAAGCCAAGGAGCCCTTGCAACTATATTTTTATGTGTTTTGGTTTGATGCGGCCATGCAATGAAACCTCTGACCATCCACTAGACTATGGAGATGGTCAGAGGTTGCAGGGACCAATTCTGACCTAGATGACACAGGGCATAACACTCAATGACATGCTGACAAGGTGACCCGAGACCTTGAGTGGCGTTCTGGAAATATTTTCATCCCACTTGATATTGGCAACAACTAGTGAAATGTGACATTTATTGGAATATCTGTGCACATATAGATAAGATGAACTCAGGTATAAGCTAAGAATAGACTCATCAGATTATCCTAAGATTAGATCACACATGAATCCATCGCCACAAATTCCATGAAGCAGTTTACATAAATACCAAGTTCGAGTCAACATGTACTTCCTTGGTAGAAGGTGGGGAGCTGGCACAGACTGGGATGTTAGGAAGCTCAGGAACGGGAGTGTTATGCCCATTTTATGATCTGATACATCAAAGAAGGTTTATCTTTATACTACAGAAATATGGAGCATTTAACTGTCAGCATCACACATGGCTGAAACATTCACCTTACTGGATAACATAGGTAATGGTTATAACTTTCATCCCACTTCATGTGCTATTTTGTTGACTTGGATTTCTCAGAATGTATAAATAAAATAAAAACTTGCACTTTTGGAACAATATATCAGCAATATTATCATCATTGTTGAGAAACCTTTGATTTTGGAGGATTAATTAACTTGTCTTGAATGTGCCCATCATTAACAACAGCAGGCGTGATGTCTCCTGGACCTACCTGAACTTGGTTCCCCATGCTCTGACTGTAGTGTTCAAAGGTTACTCACTCTCATAGGCACCATTTGCAACCAACATCAATCTGTGTCTGTACCCACAGGTTCAAAACAACCAGAAATATTTCTTGACGATATCCAGTTTTGATAATGACATTTTATCTTTCCACAATAAATGAAAGTGATTCTTATGTCAAGTGTATATTTAATATGACAACATTATTATGCCTATAAAAATTTGAGCAGTATATACAAAGGAAACACTGCAACAGTTCCGTTGTGGTCCAGATGATCTTCAGTCTGGTTGTGGTCAATTAGGAGAATGGAAGCAGGTCTAAAAGTGACAATGTGTGCATTTACTTCATGGCCCGCTCCACACATACATTTACACAGGCAACTGAACACCCTTTTCTCAGCTCCCTGGGAAGTATACCATCAAAGGTGCATATAGTATCATGTTAAAGTTGAAGTAGGTTAACTGGGTGTTCTTACATCATGATGCTGATGAACAGGTTCGAATCTCAACATATTTCTGAAATACACCCTATGCATCATAAACAAATACCCACTTGTACAACAATTGAAGATAAACAAAGATAAAAATCTTGGAAAAAACTGTTTATTTCAAATTACATGTTTTGAGTTTAAATGAAAAACCAATTATGTTACATTCTATAGCAGTCCTAGAGGATAACAATTGGTCACAACCAAACGAAAGATCTGATTGGCTGCTATATTTTAACATGAGATCTGATTGGTAAAGAACATCCTATCAGGTCCAAATAACATGACTTGTACACGGATACATTTCAGAAAAGCTATTCATCATAGTTTATCCAGAAGAAACAGTATGTGACCACTAAGAAGAAACTAAAGCCTGATGATGCATGTTTGATTGTTAAATCTCTCTATTTTGACTAACCTTGTGTTAGTGTCAACCGTACAACAGTACACATAATGATCCTAATACGATCAAATCTTGTACAAATAAAATATGTCCTAAGGAGGACAAGACCAGAGTTAACCTGCTGTCAGATGGCACACCTTCAGCAAACTGATCTGACTTAGCATTTTTGAGCTGTTATGTTAATATCTGTTCTTGTCCTCTGATAGAGTACTAAGTCAGTGTGTGAAATACACGTTAAATTCCCAAGTGTATATATGTATATAGACCTATTTACAAATATTGATGATTTCAACTTTCACATAGAAGAGCTTGCAGTAAACGCGTGAAAATAATATTCAGCTTCACATTCAAATATTAAACAATGGCTCGAGAACCCAAATCAAAAATTCCAAATAACTTGTAAAAGCTCTGCTATTTCATAGCATGAAAAATTAACAAAATATTTCAGAATTTGATGAATTAAAACCAACGAAAGCATACTCCTCAACATTTTTCTGATGAAGATTGACCTCTGTGTCTGAACATATACAACCTGCATACCAGGTGCTGCAAGGAATCACACTGACCAATCTCCAGCTGCATGTCATCAAACACCAGTATCAAGTTCTTAAAAATTTCTCAAATAATAAACCAGTTGTTAAAACCTACAAAAATATGACCACATGCAACTGAACATTGGTCAGTTCACAATTCCTCTTTGTCTTTAATATATGTATATGCCTATCTAATGATGCTGCCTGTATTTCAAGATGGCTTGTCACTAATAATTTGCTTACATATGAAACTTCATCCAAATATGTTAACAACTTCTATTTTCTGATGCCCTCATCTTCAGGTTACCACTTTAATATGGGGAGTTACACTGCAGCTTGAGTGGCTAGATTTCAGCATGCACACATAAGCAGGTACATTTGTGACCACCATACTGTAAATATACATAGCAGATGATTGTTGAGGTGATAGTATGTTGAGGGTACTGGACAAGTGTAGGCATAACTTAAAGCAGAAACCATAGAAGTTTGGAGACCTATATGAAAATCAGTATTTGCCAATCCAAAATAATTTCGAAGCTATGGCAATATTTACACTGACATACAAATATCAAGTACAGGTGCATTCAGACAGAACTACCTGAACCTATATGATGGATATGATACATGTTACAGTTCAAGTAAATATTTCATTCTCCCATTTCATTGCCATGCAAATTTTCTCTTAATTAGCAAATATGTCAGACAGCTTGAGAAACTACAAAATGGTGTGATTCTAGTTACACGAAGCCTTAAACACACACCTTAACATTTAAATGTTTCATCATGAATCAAAGTGACAGACACCAGGTGTCTGTTTAAGGGAGGTAACTCAGATGGCACTTCACAGTTTCTCAAGCTTGAGCACCAACTACGCAGGTCGTAAGAAGCAAATGTGTTATATGTATAGATGAAACAGTTATTGCAATAGACAGGACAGATAACAAACAATATACAAATGTCTGCAGTCCAGGAACGAGACAATGGAGGAATACCTGAAACATTTGATTAGCAAGTAGTTTTGTGAATCAGGAAAACCACCATACAGTTACAAACATCAGATGTTTCTCTTATGAAAGTCGACCATTTTTGTTCAGGACAGTAAAACTCAACAAAATAGGCTGACACATCCTAGACAAAATTCCCTCAAAATGTACGTCCACCCTAGCAGGGCTGTAGCATGAATGAGACTTGAAGACATCACTAAAGGCCACACATTGTGCTGTACTGAACATCATTGCTGAACTGGGGTTGTTCCTACACAGAAGATTTCATCCTCATACTAGGACCTGAACACTGTCCAACATCATCAGCAGGTGGTCAGTTATTTGCATTGAGACAGTATCTCACCATGCCACTATGCAAAGAGCAGGAGCACCTGCTGCTGTTTCACTACACTCAGTTGAAGAGGTCAAAACATGAAATTATACACACTTGAATGAGCATAATGTGTTGAGTCAGCAAAATGTGTGGACAATGTTTACTACATACATTAAAGCTGAAGTTGCACCACAACATTCTCACACACTCCATTCAACATCCGCGTCAAGAAGATCTGAAACTACAAAAGTCGGCCTCTTGACAACACACTTACATTGTTGTCATGAAAGAAACCATTTTGGCATCTAAATTCTAACCATGAAAGAACAATTTCATAAATTTTCATCTTAACCAAGACAGCTGATCTCTAACATGAAAAATGGGTCAAATGTTGACGAGACCACAGAAGCTTCCACATAGAATACGTCCCCCTGAAATTCTCTGTGAGGCAGAGCACCTTTGATCCAAATCCTGATCTAGGGCAAACAGCATAGCAGCAAGACAGCAATAACAACAGCTCTTCTATTCCATGAGATAATTATACAATGTACAAGTTGTACTTTGTTGTACAGTATGTGCTAAGGCACCCAATATGACCCATCAGATCAGGATGGGCACAGCGTGATAAATGCTGTAATGCCTGGCTACCAGTTAATACCTCACACCAGAATTCTTCACTGATTTCTTCCCACTTATATTCAGAGATGAGACTTGCAGGGTAATAAAATCCCTTAGTTTTTCCAAAACCTCATTACTACCTATACCCAACACAGACATGTACAACCTTTACTTCAACCTATCAGAAGCACCACACACATGAAAGAGAGGAAAGTGCAAGGGGTCATCTCAAAAGTTGGCCTGTTACATGAAAAGAAAGTCATCACATGTATCTACAAGCAAAATAACATGGACTTTTGAAATGACCCCGACAATATATAGAAAATTTTCTCGAACCTGGTCAAAATTTGATTGCATGTTAATCATGTCAAATGACGAAACACATTCATAGATAAGAAAAACTTGTCCCCAAGTTCTAGATATCACTTCTAGCACAATGAATGAATACGTACTTCGAAAAGTCAATACAGTCCTATTAAGCAACCCTATGTGCAGCCATGACATTTGGTCTCAATCACCTATTATGGGAAAGGTCTACGCATTATTGTACATGCAGTCTAGAATATTTCAGTAAATGAATGCAAAAAACAACAACTGACCTGCACACAAAAAAATAAAAAAATGTGAAATTGAATTAGCACTACAGGGCAGCTAGGGTTACTTTGTACAGAGACATCCTTATCAATATATTCTGCATCTAGAGATAGATTGAGATGAACTAGACATCAGCTTTGAAGCCAGAACATAAGACAAATTATTCACCAAGGTAGGCAAGTATATTATATACAATGTAGAGTTTAACTCAAAATAAGGAAAATGTGCATGCTAGGCCACAACAGATTAATTATTAGATTATATCCTAATATTTGCAAAAAGAAAACAAAAGACACTCCTTAGATCTCTTTGTTGGAAATCACAAAAGTCCATGCAACACCACTTTGGGGTTTTGTAATGACCACAGGCAATCCTGACTGGACTTAAAGCGAAAGGTGCTAGGATGACCACCTTATGATTAACCCATTGTGACCTTTTTTCGTGGGGGTTCCTCTCGTTGGTATCATGGCTCGCATTGTCCTTGCAATTTCCATGTTTTCTTCATTGTATTCCAGGCAGTAATGACTTAATACATACATAGATTTAATCAAGTGATAACTGACCCAAGTGTTGTGCTATATGACTTACACTTACACTGCATTTGTTTTCAGTTCAAACCCGTATACATAACAAAAGGGGAACTACGCTCCAGGTTCTAAATTTCTGACTCACTTTCGGCAATATAATGGGAACGTGGGAATACTGTAACACTATGCCTTTAGGCTTAAAATTTACTGCAGTACTTATATATGTCATTTAATCTGAGACAACAATACAGGTGCTTGAATAACCTCAATCAAACTGGGACTGCCTATTTGCTTGAGCCTAGTCCCCCTTTAAGGGTAGTGCTGTACAACTACTACGAACATGATTATTCAAAAGTCATTTGATTAATTATATTCATAATATTCAGATTCATCCGAAAGCTAATGGAAATTTCACAGCATATATTTTTCTTGTGCTACAGTTATTTTTTAAGGTAGCGGGTGAGTTGACACAAATATGTTCTGCAGATATTTCTCCTGATAAGGATTTGTGTTACATTTCAATTATTTGGTTAAAATTGAGCAAATAAGACAATATTTCCATGGAGCCTACACCTGTTGCATTTCGGGGTATCAAGATTTATTACATCATAAATACTGGGGAAACACCACCATGTCATACAATAACTGGTAAATAAAATGCTGCTCTAAAATAGCTTAAGATATGAAGAACAATCTTTGCGGGTCATGTGACATCGTTGCTATGGCAATGACCTCCCTGACCCGAACCAGTCCAAGCTGGCAGAGTGGAATGTTCACATCAGACAAGTTGTCAAGCCATATGACCATTTTCAGAAGAGGTGTCACCATGGTAACTAAGACCCAAGAACATCACTCTACCAAATCGAGACCAAGTGAAAATTATGACTTCTTGAAACAAGTACACATACTATATATACTGGATCAATTAATCCTCTCGACTTGTACAAATATCTAAAATGCAACAGCACGGAAATCAATATTCAGCACCAATATTTGCTTTATTGACAATTATTTCTTTTCCCACCTGGAGATGATCAAAATGTATTGTAATAAAAAAATAATTTCACTCAAAAAACCATCCCTGAACCATACGAGAGCAAATGTATGACAGATCCACATATTTTCCATCATCCAAACTCTCATGCACAAGTTCAAGTTTTACGGAAAACCACAACATGGCCACTGACACATCCAGACAGGAAAAGGCAGATTTCCTCTAAAACTAGTCACAATTTTCACCTGGTTTCTGAGGTATTTCGTCAAACCGCTGTCCTTGTGATGTTGATCTATGGCTTCTCAGCAACATCTATACACAACGCTTACGTCGAGTTCAGTAAGAGTTCGCGTAAACGCCTACCATCATCATATGTATGTACAACCAGGCTTAGGAGCCAATGCACCCATGTTCAACGCAACCCTTCAAGGAAGACCGAGTTCAACGTAAGTGCATTGAGCCACCTGTAACGCAAGCACCCACAGCAACGTTCAACGTACATACGTAGTACTGTAATGCTGCTCGCAATGGAAAAATATATCGGCCACAAATTTTCAATTGGCAACAGTATAGGTCCCTTCCTAGGCCAGACTTTCTGCTTCTTAAATATAAAAGTTAAAGTTTCAACAGATGACGTCCTTTTCTAACTCATGCATAGTACTCCTTTTCTGATTGGTTGATCGGGGAATATGTGGACTTTTTCCTGGGTTCGTCCAATGCGTAGCTGCCTTCATCCTTCTTCCTCATTCTATATACTATGAACATGACGAGCAGTATAGCACACAGTAAACCAACCACAGCTCCACCAATGATGGCTGAAACGCAAAAGAATAAATAAATTACTTTACATTCTGAAAGTTGCATTCGATCCATCCATCCATCCATCCATCCATCCATCCATCCATCCATCCATCCATCGCACATCAGGAATGGGCTAACATATTACTATGATATAGGGAATCAAAACAAGGTTTTGGCTTTATGTCAAAACATAACAGTGAGCAAGTGTTATGCTGCACTCAGCAATATTCCACCTATATGCCGGAGGTCTGTAAATAAACGAGTCTGTACCAGACAATCCAGTGATCAACATCATGAGCATCGATTCACGCAATAGGGATACCGTGACATGTGTCCATCAAGTCAGCGAGCCTGACCACCCGATCACGTTAGTCACCTCTTATGACAAGCATAGGTTGCTCAAGATCAATTCTAACTCAGATCTTCATGGGTTCATAACATAATAACCACTCAACTACCCGAACAGTAAAACAACCCACGTGACAGAATTGTGCTGCATGTCAGAAATGACAACTTAGACACCTCAGAAGCCATTTTTAACAATAAAATAACACACTGCCTGCAGGCATATTTATTCTGTTATCCTTTACAGGAGTTGGGGAGAAAACAATGGCACCATATTCCAGCTGTATGAAAACAGACTGTAATTGAGTTTAGGCCATTTGTGATCATATGAGTGAACAAAAGACATGACTGATAGCTGACTAGTAAGGCGTCTAGATCGAAAAGTGCACTATCAGCCAGGAAGCATATTGTCACCATTAGATCAGACTGTCACCATCACATTTTCATTTTAATCTACATTTGGCATACAAGGGGAGCTGGTGATTGTTCAGTCACCCAAAACTCACAAGTTCCTACCACATGCAAACCTCTTTCAGTGGCATTTTAGAAGTTGGGACACACAACATAGAACAAACTGTATGGATAACAACTTTCATTTCATGAGTGCGACGTTTCGATAGATTCCTGCTTCCTCCATAAAGTTTGTTCAATATTTCACATGCAAACCCTTGAGGTAATGACAAGTTTCAGCACACAACATATGCCTGAATATGATAATAATGCAAGATCTGTTATTACCCGAATACCCACAACTTTAAGAAATAAGATAGCTGGTTGGTGTCTAAACCTCCACCATGGACAACACTCACCTGCAAGAAGCCCGGGCTGAGTCATGATGTGAGCAGATGCCACGGAGGCCTTTTCTGGGTCATCACCAGTTTCATTTGTCTCATCATCATCATCTTCAGCTGAAATAAAGGATACCAGAATAAGAATGATGAAAAAAATCTGCTTCTGCATCATTCTGAAGCACAAATGATTTTAACAAACGTTATGTGTTTTTGTGCTTGTATTTCTTTATACAAAGAGCTGAGATAACAGATCAGGTTCCACTAAATCATGTCATGGTTCACAGACAGTCAGATCATAGTTGAGAAACAAGGAACTCCAAATGCAAACATGAGAGTTGATTAGATTAATGTAGGCAGTCAAGTACAACATGCTATGCAAGGCTGTCCTAGGCTTCACAAACAGGTGACTGTTCACAGGGGTAGAGTGGAAGGGATGTGTGTCGTAAAGGGTCACACCATGGGTACAGTCCTTGATGCAAGAGGATATCCAAAAGGATATGCAGCCCAAACAAGGCACTGCATTCCCAATACCCACATACAGTGCAACATACACGAATACCAGGTCTTATGTTGCATTCAGGACCAGTTTGGGTTTGACTGACTGAGTTTGGTTTTACGCCGCTTTTAGCAATATTCCAGCAACATCACGGCGGGAGACACCAGAAATGGGCTTCACACATTGTACCCATGTGGGGATTCGAACCCGGGTCTTCGGCGTGGCGAGCCAACACTTTAACCACTAGGCTACCCCACTGCCCCCGTTTGGGTTTGAGATCTTTACAGTAAATTTCTTGCTAACGATCAACTCAAATCCTGGTTTGTTTGTTTCTATTACCACACTTACTGATCTTCAATGAAATGTAGTTTATGGATATGACTGACTGACTGAGTTTGGTTTCACGCCGCTTTTAGCAATATTCCAGCAACATCACGGGCACACCAGAAATGGGCTTCACACATTGTACCCATGTGGGGATTGAACCCGGTCTTCGGCGCTGGATACCAACTTTAACCACTAGGCTACCCCAGTTATGGCTATGAACCATGGGTCCTGAATGGAATCACAAACCATGGTGGCTAGTCTGTTGGGCTGGATACGACTTCAAAAGGTATCAGTCATATGACAACACCCAGGTGGTAATCGAATCGGGATCTCTGGTTTGACGAGTTAAAGTGTTAACCACTAGGCTACCCCACCACCACCAGCAGTGTGTAGAGAACAGAATTCCATTACAATTAACCACTTGTGAGAAACCCAAAAGCATGGTGACAAACCAACTTCACAATAGGTCAGTCAAGGATTTGACCAGCCAGCCAGTACAAGCAATGCTGCAAACCTATACGCAGAGCCTCGGGGCATTGGGTTCCTCATGCTATGAACATTACCATGTTTCATGATTCCATGTACTGCCAGGTCTGTTAACAAACTTGCATTTGTAAAGTATCTATTAACATGCAGTATGAATTGGACTCAAGGAAAACAGCCTTGATAAACATTTTCAAGAAAGTCATATTGCAACTTGTTTGAAGTCACTTACGTATTTCATTTTCCTCGTCCTTTGTTCCCAAATCTGTATCAGTTGCAGGTGTTTCTGGGGTATACGTGTACTGGAAAAGTAAATATCATCAAACAATTAGTGACAATTCCATTCTAGTAATACTCCATATTGATGTGAGCGAGCTAGTTTTACGCCGCTTTTAACAATATTCCAGCAGTATCATGGCAAGGGACACCAGAAATGGGCTTCACACATTGTACCAGTGTGTGGAATCGAACCCTGGTCTTCAGCGTGATGAGTGAACGGCTTTAACCAATAGGCTACCCCATCGCCCACTCCATATTGATAATGGTCTAACACATAAGAGATGCAGTGTTCTTGACAGATCTAATGAACACTAATGTCAACTACAGCCGAGTTAAATAGTAACAATAAGAGATCCTGCTGCAATTATCTTAGAATTATCAAGTTCACAAGGTTAATGAATGATGTGGATCGTGTCTGTATTTTAAGCATGCACATTTTCAAGTCCTTACCCCTGGATCTGTTTTGGGCTTACGTGGTTTTCCTCCTTCCACAATAATACCGCCATTCTGTTCGATCACAGGTGGGAACGTTGCTTCTTGGGTAGTGGTTGACATATATGCTACAGAAAGAAATGCACTGAATCAGTTGGAATTTTTGTCTCTCATACTTTTATTCACTAATAATAAAAACAGCTAAAAGAACTACACTTGTGGGAAGAGAAACATGACGTCGAGCCTGAGAGGAAACATATTTACTATTGGTTGGTGTATGTCCTTCTCTAATTTATAACAGCAATAAAGATCAGTAAGAACCATACATCTCTTGTTGGAGAATGCAGAGAGCTAGGATCAAGCTGCTTTGAACAGTTGTCCATGTGAGCTTAAGCCAAAGTGATACAGGTGTTTCACCTTTTTCACTCTGGTGAAACACAAGCATAATGCCGACAAACTAGAACAAGAGTCATCAGAAGATGACAAATCCCCCTGGCCCCAAAAAATTTGAAAGAACAAATCATCTGACAGTTACTTAAAGTCCAACTTGATTTTTTAGATTAAGTCCAAACTGTTTCCGTGGAAATCATGAAAATATAAATGCCAAAAGTCCACAAATAGCGAAAGGCATCACTTAGGGATCTGTTTGATATATCTGCCAAGTTCTGTTGATACATATTAAGCAGTTTATGTTATGCTTTGACAACGAAATCCACCCCTTTTCGAGACTAAATCCAAATTGTTTCCATGGAAATCGAGCCAAAATAAAAATGTAAAAAATCTGTAAAAAGCAAAAGACACCACTTTATGCTCGGTTTGACATATCTACCAATTCTTGTTGAAAAATATTAAAAGTTTTGTTAGTTATGCCCCGGACGGACGATGCGTTGACTATACCTCCGTGTTATATGCCAAGGGGTTAAAAATGTATTATCTGGTACGTAATAGTTGGCTCAATATCACTACAGTGATAAATTCCACAAACTAATGCTCAGCACAAATATATTTGATCACTCTCATACTTTTACATTATGAAGCAATGGATGTGTACCAGTAGAGACTCCGATTGCAATCTCTTCTGGTAGAATATCCGATTCTACCAGATCGCAACCAGATCGCAATCTCTACCCTGACATGTACATTCATAAGTTTCACTTCATTGACCATCAGATCACCATTCCAGATTCTAATGACAACCATTCAGTACTTTGGGGCAAACCAGTCCGGGAATCCCATCAGTATCAAGATGACAGAAATGGCAACAAAACATTATAACAAAATCAACCATTCCTGATGTAAATCATTCCATGTTAAAATAAATTGAAAAGAAACTTCAAGTAAACAGTTACCTTTTCATGCATGTTAATATAAAAACAAGACCCCTCAATGTCCTTTACCACCATTTTCAGAAACCTGCAGAGCAGTGATACAGGTTATTTACTATCCAGTCATATCCAAACAGCCCTCATCTTAGTTTACACCTGATGTCTAAGCAACAAAATCATGATGTGTAAAACCAGTCTTGAAACAGTTTCACATGTCCTAATGCTATGTCTTAACCCTGTCATCCTTGGCTTCATGGACTGGACAGATGAATATTTATACAATCATTAAATGGTAGACTTTAATGTCTGGACAACCAGACTGGTTGTGCACTGTTGGTCAAAGGAATCATTTTAATAGGTTCAAAATTGTAACACCATCAAAAATACCCACAATGTCCCAGCCTTGAAAGATCACTGCATGAGGGCTAGATGTAAAGCCTTAAATGTTACAAAACTTACGAATGCATTTTTCCTTATGACCTTCAAGAGTGGGTACTTCAGATCCAAATATTTTTCTTCCTCTTTGATCGACACAGAAGCATACAGATCCATGGCACTGAAGTTCCTCGAATTCTCCATTCATCTTACACCGTGGACGGAAAGTACCATACATTGGGGAGCGGATATGCTGAACAAGCTTGAACACACAGGGGTGTAAGTTTGTGCCTGGGATATAGGGGAAAAGAAAATGAAAAACAATAAACAAAAACATTAGCTGATGTTCATAATCACTAATTATAAACAATAAAGCCTTGAAGTATCATTTCTAATTGCTGGTGAAGCCTATCTATTTGTTTGTTTGAGTGGCATTTTAGAAGTTGAGACGTACAATGTGGAACAAGTTTTTATGGATAACAACTTCTTTATTTCGTTGATGAGTCGTCAACGCTTCAAGATACAGATACAAGAATCTGTCAAGCGACGCGACTCACCTAAATAAAGAAGTTGTTATCCATAAATACTTGTTCCACATTGTATCTATTTGTTGCTGATTAATAATCTATGTCACTGTCACAAGAGCGTAGAGCAGCCTCGTTATGAACTGGACAGATATCTCAAATCAATAAATGTCATCACAGGGTAATTTCACAAATCCAAATGTGAATGGAATAAATTATAAATGAATGTAATTTTTAGAGTAAAATTGATATTTTATACTTATCCTGACTCATGCTCTTTTGCTTGTCTTCTTCTTCTTGCGAACATAGTGGAACACTTGTATCTCCTTATTTGAAGCTCCTTCAAAATAAAATCACTAATTGGTACTCACCACGAGTTGCTCCCCTTTGTCTCCCCTGGCGGGAAAGGTGTAAGCCACCCTCTGGCCATGTGCTCCACTCTCTCCTGATTTAGCGAGCCCAACACTTGAATTTACAGGAAATCCAAAGTGTTATGTGGGGAGGATGGGAGGAGCTAACCTCATGAGTCAGGATAAGTATAAAATATCAATTTTACTCTAAAAATTACATATTTTTCCTTATCCTGACTCATGCTCTTTTGCTTGTAGCATCCTCTGGAGCGGAGGTGGGTAACAGAATACTTTGGATTTATAATTAGTGATTTTGTATAGATATACTGTAATATCCCCTCACGGGAACTTCATGAAGGCTTAGATTTAGGATGTTTCCTGTATAAAGAAAACCATAGGTTATATAAAGCCATTAAAGGGAATTACATTATGAATATATTGAACAATACATATAAATTATATATATATATATATAGGTGACTCTGATAGAGGCACTGAAATTGACTATACCAAAGTATATGCTTAAGGTTGAATACTTAAGCTGAACATATATACATAGCCCTAAAACTCCGTAGAGAGTTATAAGCTAGATGAGTATGTATAAAATACATATTAATCTTGTGAGGATAATATTTTAGCATCTCTGAGGGACTGTCAGTTGCTGGCGGGACCAGTGGTCGAAATGGTGAATGCCAGAGACATCTTCTGTAGTGATGTCTCTCAGGTAGTGATTAGCAAATACCATGTTAGATTTCCAATAGCATCCTTCCATAATCGTGTTCAAGGAACAGTTACGTGTAGAGGCGAGGGTAGAGGCCAGTGCCCTGATCTCATGTGGATTTGATGCTGTTGGTGGGTCCAAGCCTGCTGCCTTGTAGGCCGCGGAGAATGACAGTCCTTATCCAAATAGATATTGTGGTCCGTGACACTTCTGTTTGATTAAGTGGCGATAAGGGGATGAATAAGCGTTTGAAATCTTCTCCTTGTTTTGGATGCGTAAATAAATAAACTTTGGCTCTTACGGACACAGTGATAGGTCTTGTGTATCTTGTGATCGAGAATAGAGGATAAGCGCCGGGATGTGGAATAATCTGTCTGGTTGACCTGGCAGTTGATTTTTCGCGATGAAATCCCATCTTAATCCGAGTGCTGTGTTATGATTGTCATCAAACTGTATCCTCTAAGTAATCCAGGCGTGAATTTCAGACATTCTTGCTGCTGTGGCTAGCGATAGCAGAAACAGTGTTTTCTGTGAGAGAAATTCAAAGTTTATCGATTCCAAAGGTTCATAGACCTCACTTTCGTGAGGTGTTGTAACACTACATTCAGATCCCAAGCTGGAAGTGGAACTTCGCTTTTGGTCCTCAATCGGAGCTTCGTAGTAAGGCCAGTAACTCTGGAGATCTTGTCAATTTGACACCCGTTCTCATGGTGATTACAGAACTAAAGCGGCAAGATATGTTGATATCGTTGAACCTTTTAAATGTTTGTTTTGGCGTAGGTAACACAAATAGTCTGCCACTTGAGGTTGTGAAGCCTCTCTTGCTGTAAACCCTTTCTTTGTTGCATAATTTTGAAACTGTGCCACTTGTCGTCGTTACAAGTTCACGAGTTGAGTAGCGTAAAGGCAAAGCGTGACTGCTTTTGCAGCCCTGGCAGAATATCCTCTCTTGTTTAAACACATTTGTATACAGTCCATACGTGTAGTTGGAACATTGCTGGGTTTCCGTGCACTTGTTTGGTGTGAGGATGAATTAACAGGTTTTTCTTGGCGCTTGGGTAGCTCCAGTGTTGGTTGACCGATTTCTTGAATTAGTATGGGAAACCACGTTCTGGCCGGCCAGTAGAGGCGCGACCAAAGTGAGTTGTAGGCTCTGTGTTTGTCTGATTTTCTGTAATACTTGAGGTATTATTGCTGGCGGAAGCAGCGTGCGCATTGAGGCCTTCCATGATAGACTTAAATCCGTTGCCCAAGCTTGGGGTCTGGGACTGGTGACACGAATGTCGGTAGCTGATTGTTGAATCGGCGTGGCGAATAGGTCTATTAAGCGGCTCCTAATTGCTTGATTATCTGTGCAAAAATTTCCCTGTTGATCATCCACTCTGTCGGTGATGGTAGATGAGGCCGAGAGGCGTCTGCTAGTATATTTCTGGCTCGGGGAATGTGCACTGCTCTGACATGTAGATTTAGATCTTGTATTAAATCGAACAGTTGAAAGCTTAGGTTCAAAAGGTTCATCGATCTCGTTGAGCCTTGCTTGTTTATGTAGAAGCGCCACTGTCGAATTGTCTGTATGGATCATTAGAGTGGCATTTTGTAGAAATGTGCTCCAATGTAGAATGGCGTTGATTACAGCTTTCATTTCTAGACTGTTTATATGGGTTTGCATTCTTGCTGATTCCATAACCCTGATATCGTGTGGTTGGTGAGATGAGCTCCCCAACCTTGGGTAACAGCGTCTACATACAGATGGGTTTTGTATTCCTGCTCTGCTAAACAAATCCCTTCGCGAACATTCGATTTCTTGGTCCACCATAGTAGATGCGGTCTGAGATGTTTGGTAGACTGAATGGTTGTACATCGTTGAGATGTCGTTGATGAGAGACCTGTAGGGGCGTAACTGTAATCTGCCTGTGACAGTCATGTCTTGGGCTGATGTGAGAGACCTAGTAGGCTCTGCCATTGTCGCAGTGGTAGCGGAGAGTAGAGCTGGTGGAATGGTCTGCTGTATCTTGAATAGCGGTCTTCTGGTACCATAATCACGGTTCGCGATTTGTGATGAATCGAATACCTAGGAACTGCAGGTCTTGCGATGGTACTAGGTCCGACTTGCGTAAGTTTACTAACCAACCTAGTTGTGTTAGTAGCTTTATGATGTAATTTAACTGTAGTTTGAGGCGCGGTGGATCTTGATCTACTTGTATCCGTCGTCGAGGTAAAGCGCTCGTAGCCCTTGATGTAGAAATTTGATAATCGGTTTACGTTATCCTCGTGAATAGCCAGGGGCTGATGATATTCGAATGGGAATTACTTTCCACTGGTAATGTAGCCCTTCTAGAGTAAATCGTAGGTATTTCCTGGAATCGGGATGAATGGGGATGTGCAGGTAGGCATCCTGTAGATCTATGCTGCCCATGTAGTCCATAGGGCCGAATCATCTGGCGTAACTGAGGTAAATGTATCATCTGCGAAACCCGATGGTTTTGCGTAGATAGTTCTTGTTGAAAAGCTCATGTTGTAGATGAGTCTGTATTTCTCCGTGGAGTTTTTCTTGGGAACTAGGAAAACTGGGGAGTAGAAACCTGGTTCGGCGTTTGCTTGATCTATTACTTCTATGGCCTGTTTGGATAGGAGTGATGAAACAGCCTCTCTTATCTTTGGTAGTTGTTAAGCTTGTAAATCGAACTTGGGGGTTTGATTGTCAGCGGAGGCTTAGCCTGTAGAGGGATCTGAAAATCCGTGTTGAAGAATGTTGGAGGCGTAAGGGTCTTGCAATATTCCCCAGTTTTCCCAGTGTAGTTGGAAGCGTCCACCCACTTGAGCTGGCTGTACTGGAGCGGCTGGGGTGGAAGACTCAGTCGTTCGAACCTGTGTTTCAGCGTCTATAATTGCGGGAACCTCTGGGTGTCCTGCCTCTTCCTGATCCTCCTCTATAGTTGCCATATGGAAGCGACGAAAAGAATCTTACCTCTAGAGCTGGCTATCTTCCTGTCTCTTGCTCTTTGTAGGCCCGTGAACTTAGATCTGCCTGAGTATCTTTGTGAAGTCTGGCCGAATGGCTGGCTAGTGTGTCCATCGATCTAATCATAAGGACTTCCCTGGAATCCTTAGAGACTTCCTTGGCGACTTTGTCGATTTCTCCGTCAAAGATGGATGTTGTCGACCACGGGGCTGTATAAAGTGGGGCTGTAAAGTTCTCCCCAATTACAGGAGGCGAGGAGGCCTTGGCGGACGAGCTAAGGTCAATGCTGCTGAAACAGATGTAAGATGATCCGTTAAAACTGCTGATCTTTCTTTTGCATAAGTAAGGCAGAATAAATCATTCTATCATCTTCCGTCGTGGAATCCGGAATCTAGTAATAAGAGTCTCATTGATCGTCCTAGATCTATTTAACCCAAAGAACATCGTCTAGTCATGGTTTCTATATGAGCCAACTTGCGATCATCCATCTTGTAAATCTTGTTCTTTACATGGCTGATGATCTTATAGTTCTCATCGATGTCCTGGGCCTTGTAGAAGGAGTCCATGTTATCGTGGAGAACTTCTTGGCTTGAAAGTTGGGCAGATGTGGTATCTGAACTTTAAGTAGCTTTCTGGAAAGCTGCATCTAGATTCTGTGGCACTGCATGTCCGGGTCGATCGGGGTAGAGTGATTGCATCTGGATCATCTTCCTTCATCAAATCGTCTGCGCTGTATTGCCACTTTTAGATGGTGATGTGAGATCTAGGTTATTGACCATC